CTGTGGGAGCGGCTCCCAGAACCACAAAAGCACCATGACCTCTTCGATGGCAGATCTCTTTCATTTTCCTCCCAGTGTTTCCATTTCTTGGGGGAGGAAAAATAAAAGTTATTTTAATTTTTTAATCGCGAATGAAATTTTGACACTTAGAAATTGATTATTAATATTATCGATTTATTAATCAATAATAAACTATTCTATGTAGGATTCGTAAAATATTTAAAAAATATCTTTTTACTCTCTTAACTTTAATCTTGCTAAACTAAATAGATTTATAACCCTTAGTAATACATATTAGTAACCCTCTTTTTTAAAGAAAAAAAATTAAATTAGTCCAAATTCAGAAAAATATTTTTTCTAATCAAAGTAATGAGTAATTTTAATTTTTGTTATTAATAATTACTTTTCATTATTTTTATTTCTGAATAAATGAAAGGTTAAATTATACAGTAAGCATGCTATAATTTTTTTACTTATATAAATATGTGAATATGTATTCCTAATTTAGTCCAAGTAATTTAAATATCCAATATAAATGCTATTTAAAAATATGAATTTGCTTAATTTAAAGTGAATATATGGATTTCCTACGTTTATTGATTCTCACAAATAAAATAACCAAATCACTAATGGTGCCTAAAAAGACCTTTAAATCTATTTTGTCTGTAATTTCAAATATGAAATACCATCAATAAAATTGTAAGCTATGGGTCCTTTCAAACCTTCTTTGGACCTATTTTAAAGTGTTCAACTAAATATGAGTAAGTCCAATTACAAATTGATATTTTAATTTAGTATTTATTACTATATCATAAATAAAAATTGTTATTAAGATTGTATTTGAGATAGTTGAAGTTGACTTTTTTCAATTTTATTCAATAGAAAACTGGAAGATAAATATAATAATGGTATAATATCAAAAGTAAAATATTAAATGTAGACTAATAGATTTTTGATGAAAGAATCTGATCATATTTCTATAATCTTATCATTAATTAGTTAGTCAATGAATTTATAAATGAAACCAATAAATTACAGAATTATTAAAAAATTTGTGAGATTTATTATTTCAAAAATACATAAGTTTCTTAAATGCTCAAATAATTTTTAAATTTTGATTTAAATTAGTTTATTGAATTTAAAAAAAAGTACTAATTTTAAAACGTTATTCTTACAGGGAAACTTGATATTTAAAATTTCTATACGAAATTTATAATTAGAATCTGTTCTCGAAACAAAATGTCTCACAAAAAAGCATAACATCAATTCAGAAAATTGGTATTATATTGTTTAATTTGATTTGTAACTTTTTTTAATTGGAATAAATTTAAATTGAGATAATTTGTCTAATTAAAATATACACATCTCAAAAATTATAAGGAATATTAAGTTAAAAAGATCAGTTCATTATTCTCAGTATTAATAATTATAAATATCCCATTTGCCTACTTCTATAAAATTATGTTATTCCCCATGGTAAGTTATTCAATTCTCTCTAATATAAAAAATAATATGTAATAACTCAAAAACCCATCAACTCTATTCTTTATTCTTTAAACCTAAAACAGCTTTGCCTTCTGATTTGTCATTCTAATTTCCTCCACCACAAAAAAGGGCTAAAGAATTAACTCCTGAAATAATTTCATTATTTCAAAAGGTTTATTTTTCCTAATTCTTTTTAATTTTTTCCTATATATTTTATCAGCATATGACAAAAAACCACTGAATTTAAATTAATTTCTTATTTACATTAATTTTGACCATCCCTCTTATGCAAAGCATTCCATGCCTATTTTTACCAATTTTTTATTCATCAGCTGAAGAAGTATTGGCTTATCATTAATGAATATTTTTAATTAGAGAAGGGGAAAATTGAAGTTTATCTACTGAATAGTACTATTAGTTTCTTAGAGGTGGCGGATAAAATGGTGAATAATGATCTAAATATGGTAAATGGATTGATTTGAAGGATTACTTTTGGAAGTAAAATACATTTATCAATATCTCGTCTTACATCAAAGATTAGGGCTTCACTATACATGACAATTGATAACCTTTATTTTTTCCATCAAAAGTTTTTGGTTAAGTATTACCTTAAACTTTGCTCAATCCATACTTAGAGTACTTTCCACCAATATCTAAAATAATTTAATTATGAAACTTTCCGCCAGTCTACTTTTAATAAAGATTTACAAATCACACAAGATAGTAAATCTATGATAAAATAGACAAGATTTCAGTGTTTAGAAAGAATTTATTACTTATTCACTAAAAATGAGGAATAAAAATAAGTCCTTAAAATTTATCCATCTTGATGGCACTTAATTTCCTTTAGTTTTGTAAATGCAATTTCATATTTTGATCTTTTCAACCTTTTATTATTCAAATCCCGTAAATGTATATTAATGTTTTTAAATGGAATTTTACCATTGATATTTTTCAATTAGTGATTTTTTTTACTAGGGTTCAATGATAGTGAGAAATTATTTGACTATGAAAAATTGACTAAATTATTTTAAAGACTTTTAAGAATTATTTTACTCGCTTAATTAAACTTTCTTTATTACCATTTAGTATAGATTTATTTACACTCATTCAAATACATTAACTTCTTTAATTGTAAAATGATTATCATTTGAATATCAATAAAAATATTGTATTTTTTGTCTTTTTGAAACAAATGTAGTATGATAGAAATAATGCTTATAAAATAGCTTTTAAAATGTGTTTTGTGAATTAAAAACAATTAAATATACTTTGTCTATATCTCATATTGCCTCTTAATTTATTTTGTTTATTTTTAGAGTAAAATTCTCATTTTTATTCTTTCAATTATGTTTTAAATTTATATAATTTCATCACTCTTAAATTCTAAAATATGTATTTAAAATTCTGTTTCTGAAATCAAAATAGTATGAATTCACTTCTAAATTTAGACCAATATAATTGATTTTATTATTATTTACACACAAAGAACCTCGAAATATAAATCAAAATATTGTTTAATTCATAAAACATTAGATTATTATTTTCTACTAAGTATTTATTATTCTTTCTAAAGCAGTAGCATTATATTCAAAATTATCCTTCAATTATTATGATATACATGTTTTAATATATATAGCCGTAGTCAATCAGGGTTCTTTCATCTTTT